AGAGGCCCGTCTTCGATGCTTTGTGAATGAGGGCGTCTGGGAAAGCCTCCTTCTTGTCTGTTACGGCTTCTCATCTATGGGATGCGTTCACTGCTTTCCTACAAAGTCTCAGGTCTGACAAATGAGGACACAAACCCCTGTGGGCAGGGAGAGTAAGCACCCAGGGGCATATCGGGAAGCCTCTGTTCAGGGCACACCTGAGCTCAGGCGCTGTCAGCCTGCCCGCACCCATCGCCAGGACACTGAGAAGTAGGTGTGCTGAGGGCGCCCTGCCCTGCCCTGTCCTGCCCTGCCCGGGGCCCCGCAGGCCGCCTCCTCTCAGGGCTTCCTGTGTCCGGAGTTCATGCCTTCCCCGCCCCCCTATTCACCCCTTGCAGCTGCACAGATCCTCCCCCTCCAGCCTCAGGGCCTGCCTCTGGCCTCCCCTGGTGTGCCCCGAATTGCCCTCTCTGATTGGAACTGCGCTCCGAGAGCTGAAGCCCCATTCCCCTGGCCAGCCAGGCTCCGCACCACTGGGCATGGCCTGGCGAGGGCAGGGAGGCACAGCAGGGTGAGAACCCAGAAGAGCAGCAAGGAGAGAGGGAGGGAAGAGGAACCCACCCAAGAAATGCCTCGGCAGCAGAAAGCTGGAGGGGAGCATGGGGTGGGGGGAAGCCCCCTGCAGCGGGCGGGCTGTGAGCGGGGCACCGGGTGAAGAGGACAGGGCTGGGGACCAAGAGAAGGATGGGTGGCGGCAGAGAACCACCGTGAGAGGCGCGTGCTGAAATCCGCACCTGTCCTGGGCGAGTATGAATAAAACCAGTGGAACGCCTGTTAGGACACGGACACCTCGTCCCCCTTCCAGAGCTCAGAGTCCTTCGACTGGGCGGCGCCCTGCAAACCTGTTTTGTTTTGTTTTGTTTTGTTTTTAACAAGCCGCCCAGAAGCTTCTGATGCAGATGTTGGGAAACGCTGTCCTCCGTGGTGAGGAGGGCACCTGGTAGCAACTCAAACTTAGTCAATTAACCTCAGAATTTGACATTTTAAATGCGCAGCGTTGAAACTCAGCTGCCTTGTAGCACAAACGCAAACGCTGGGCTCCAGGGGTGGCTGATTCTGCTCTCCGGGCTCCTCCAGGACCCTGTGTGGAAGGTTAGTTAGAACATCTCCAAAGACCCTTTCATCCAGAAGGGTCTTTCTGTTCGCCTGACATCTGATGCACATCTTGGTCTGCGTTCAGGGGCCAAACACTCCCCAGTTCCTTCTTCCTGTAGCCGCAGGTGTTAGACAATACAAGTGCTTTGCCTGTTTGAAGACAGATTTTTAAGAGCCAACTGTGTGTTTCACATCCTATTTAAAACTGATGCCAATATGTTTAATTACATGTGCAATATTTTACACCTTTCCATTTGAGCATTTCTAATTCCTCGTAAGGAAGATTATTTGTGTTTCAAAAGCACGTGTGAGTAGAGAAGTCACTATCGAGGTGTCCTTGGGGCACCGATACCAACAGGGAAGTCAGAATCAGAGCAGCTTTTTCTAAGCCCCCCTCCCGCACCTGCAGGGGCGGCCTTCTCGCTGCGCCCTCTCGGGGCCTCTCCTCGGGGGCTGTGCACCTGGCGTCTCTCTAGGTGTCCAGTTCTCCTCTTCCTATAAGGACCCCACTTGGATTGGATCAGGGCCCACCCTAATGACTTCCTTTTTATCTCATCACTTCTTAAAAGGGTTATCTCCAAATAAATCTCACTCTGAGGCACTGGGGGTTAGGGCTTCAGTGCATGAATTTGGCGCGGGACACAGATCAGCCTGAGATGGTTCTCATCATCTGCCCCACAGAAGCCGAGTGACCCAAAGGCCACCAGGAGAGGTGCTGAAGTGTTCACACAGGTACCCAGCCTCCTCCCTGCCATCTGTACCACCGCCTGGCAGTCAGCACCACATTCGGTATGAACTCACTGAGTCTGGCTTTGGAGTAAGACTGATCCTCCCAACAAGGTTAAATTTCCAGCCACTCTTTTTCTCCAGGAATATCCTTGTTTCTAGTTAACTGAAAGTGAGCAAGCCCCCACATGTCCCTTCAGCAGGGCCTCCTGTTTGGGGGCAATGGGAATAAGGAATTGCTGCAGAAACCGCTCTTCGGGTATCCATGTATAATGAGCTCCATTAGACAGAAGCCACAGCCACAGGTCTCCTGGACGCAGGCCTTTCCTGCCCATGGCCCCCCGGGGCTCTGTGGTAGGACTGCACCCTTGGGGTTTTTATAAACCCTGTTAACAAACAGAGAAAGAGGCATGACGTAAGAGTATGTCCACAGTGAGGGTGGCGCTTCTGGGAGAGCTGAGCCCACAGCTCCAGGCAGAGTCAAGCCACCAGGAGGGCATGAGGTGGTCCCTCTATGGGAAGAAGTCAGCCCAGGCCTCTGAGGAACCTAAACTGAGTGAGGGTACAGGACTCGGAACATAACACCCGAGTATCGAGCCAAGGAAGGCGACCGGGCCCACCGGGTCCCACCACTAGCGAGGGTAGATTTGGACCCCCAAGAACTGCGAATATTGGACTCATTGGATGAAGAGAACAGAACCGTCCTGAAGGAGGTGACCGATTAAACACTGGCTGCGTGAACAAACATGAGCATACGAGAAACCACTGGCCGTGAACAACTTCAAAATACTGCTTCACAAAGGGCTTATTTACTAAAAACAGGAAAGAAAGGTACCTCTAAAGGGAGAAAACTGGTGGACACCAACTTAAGCAATGAAAGGCAATGGCACTGATACTGGGGCTCTCTGTGACCTTGGCGCTCTGTGTGACCTTGGGGTTCTGTACAACCTTGCACCTCCCGGCGTGACCAATCGAGTGAGAAGGACGTAGTGACCCGTATAAAGTGTTCCTGTCAAAAACTGAACCTAAGCAGGAGGAAATAATCAGATGGATGCAGATGGAGGGACACTGCCCAAAACAAATGGCTGGGACTCTTCAAAAATACCAGGGTGATGAGAACTTGGTTAAGGCTTGGGAACTGTTCTAGATTAAAAAAACAGAAACAACAAAACCAGGACAGCTAATGGGATGAATAATTCCTGATTCCTTCCCAGATTGAAAAAAATAACATTCAAAAATATTACTGAGACAACGGGGGGGACATTTGAATTCGGTCTGCCTACTAGGTAATATCATGTTTTCAGGGCTAGATTGCCTGAATGTGACACTTACATTGTTATGTAGGATGACATCCTTGAAGATGCGTCATGATATCAAGGATAATAAGCATTGAATCACCTCACCAAAGATATCCATGTGCACGTACAGGTGTGTGGGGAGAAAAGAATCCAGCAAGTGTGGCAGCTGTTAGCAGCCGGTTACTCTGGATGCAGGCAGAGAGGGGTTTCCTGCTGTTCTTGCCACTTTTCTGCAGGTTTAATTTTTTAAAAAGGTTGGGGAAAATATGAACAACTACAGAGTAAGTCGCATGTACCGTGTGACTGGTGCACGTCAACGCTCCCACGTCCGCGAAGGGGTGACCCTCTCCAGGCCGAGGCAAAGCTTACTGCGCGGGCGAGGCGAGGCCCCGAGCCCAGGGCACGTGCTGAAGCGCCGCATGAACGGAACCCAGAGCGCCGGAGGGGCGGCTCCTCCACCGAACTCTTGGAGCCTTACCACTCACCCCCGTGTCACTGTCTCCTGCAAATCCCAGCCGCCAGCAGCCCCGGTCCTTTGGCCCCACCCTGGGGCCTGTACCAAGTCTCGGTGTGTTCCACAGTCACCTGGGCAGGCGGCTCGGCGAGGCCGATGCCCATGGAGCGCTCTGCCGTCCTGCTGCCCCAAGGACGCTCTGCGCCCACCCGGCCCCGAGGACGCAGGCCTGGCAGATGGGCTCCTCTCCGCCCTCTCGACGGAACCGAATCCGGGCCCTGCTTGGGCTCCTGATGCAGAGCGCCGGGTGGAGCTTTTCTCTTCTTTCCATCACAGGTGACCCCCTTCAAGTTCTGCTGTTACACCTCACGGGGGTGTATGTGATTTTATGTGTAATGCATCAAACAGCAGTTTTAGAAAATCTGTGACGTTTCTGGTCAGTCAAAAATGGCTTGTTGTAGAAAGATGCTCACTGTCCTGGGAAGCCGTCTGCATATGCTGAGATTCTGTGACTCTGAGGTCCTGTCTGAAGCAAGGGTGGGCTGAAAAGGGTCACATGGGATTCTCGCAAGACGCGCTTTTTGCAAGGAGCAGGGAGGTGCTGTAGGTGCCCACAGAGGACCTAGATTCTTCCCCCGTAAAGACGAGCTGTCCCCCACGTAGTTGTGAGGCCCTGAGCAGCCGCCCTCACGTGGACTCCCCTCAGGCCCACACCCCCGCCTGCTCCAGCTCCTCCTCAGACACCCTCTGGACCTGCCCCAGAGCCTCTGCCTGTGATCTTCTGCAGGCCGGTATCTTCCGAGTGTGCTGCCCTCCAAGCACTTTCCTCTCCACTCTAGCGCAGCCTTTGAAATCTTCCTCATCTCTTCAAAGTCAGTCATTCAGAAGCACACACCGTGTTCCAGATGCGGCTTCCCCCAGGGACCTGGCCAGGCAAAGTCCCTGGCTGCCCCAAGCTGGCACGCTACAGGGCCTTCACCAAAGGGAAGCTGAGTCCTCCCCACAAAGGACCTGTCTTGGGGGGTAGGGGATGCGGGAGGAACTTCCCAAAATCTTATCAGTAATATTTGCCCAGTCAAGTCTCATTGAAACCACAGCCTGCCAGGGTTGGTGACACAAACTGGAACTGAGACACTGTCCCTGGTGTCAGGCAACGGCTGGAGCAAGCTGCCTGGGCTCTCAGCTGTGACGGCTCAGCCCTCTGGGACTCACGGCGGCCTGGGAGTCCACCTCCACAGACCCTGTCTGAGCAATAGCGTGGCCTGGGGTCAGCTTCTCCACCACCTGCCTCCAGGCAGGAAGAGAAGGCTGCCACATTCACTTGAGGCCCATCCTCCTGCTGTGACCTCCTCCCCACTGTCCTCTGGAAGCAGATGCCACCTGTTGGCCTCACATGGGGCACATTACCAGGGTGGGTGTGCCATGACTTTGCATAGAACGTTTGCAGGATAGGAGAGTGAAATAAGTGACTGGTCAGTAAAAACATCCATTTCACATAAAGAAAAAGGCATTTCGCTAAATAGAATGAAAGTTGCCCATGAATTTGAAAGTTAAGAACATAGAAAGTCAAACTGATTTCGGCTCTTCGGCTGGCAGCTTCGGGCTCTGCTCCCAACCCTGCAGGGGAGTCACTTTGTGGACTGGCTTGCAAAGCCCTGGTGAGAGACATGCCCTCCGAGGGCGCCTCTGGTGCCTTTTCCCAAATGCTGTCCAAATAGTAAGGGAGATGTGGCTGCCGAAGAGGCGGCTTCATTCGGCTGCTGCGAGGCTCTTAGCGCACCAGACGCAACCGTGGTGGCCCCGAGAGACAGCCTCACATTGTCTCCCACACATGAATCGCTGCCAGAGCAGAGATGTTCCAAATTCACTTAAATGAGTGGCTCAAAGTGCCAAGGACCCAGGCTCTCTCCATTTTCTTTCCCCACCATCCTCAACTTGTCGGTGTTTGTTCTTACGTTGTCCAGGTAGCAGCCGGTGTCCAGCCTGTCTCCTCACACCCTGCAGCAGGCAGGCGGGGAGAGAGAGCGCCTCCCCACCCAGGGCACAAGAGAACCTCCCAGGACATTCCGTCCCCCTGGCAGCTGCCCCTTGCCTCTCCTTGGATGGAATTAACGCAATTTTACAGGCAGTAGGAATGGAATTGCTGTGATCCAATTATCTAATCCAGATTCGCCTACCTGCAGGAGCTGGGGAGGGGCCTGTCTTCCCCCAGAGCGTGGCCATCAGCACCTGAGCCGAATCACGGGTCTGTCAGCCAGGCAGCGAGAGGCTGGGGTCAGCAGGGGGCGACCGACATGCTGAGCTGCTCAGCTCTACACCTTCCCGCATCCACCATCCCAGATGGCCCTGTGGGGAAAGTGGGATGATTGACTCGGGACAAATAAATGTCAAGTGGTTTTCCATGCCTGAGATGAAGGGGCTTTATTACACTCTGCTTTTAATCAAATAATTTATGCAACACTTCATCGGCAACTCCACGCGACTGCTCTCCAAGCTGGGAAGGTCTCGTCAACCTGAAAGAGAGGAACAAGCCGCAGCGAGCAGAAGCCTGACCTCTCCCACCCAGCGGGCCGCGGGCGGGCCTGTCTCCCTAGGGAGTGTCTGTGACACACGCACCTATGCTTGGGAGGCCAGCCAGAGGCATAGTACGTGCCAGCCGGGTCCCACTGACCATCCACACTCCTGGATGTGAGACACCTCATGACACAGACGAGCAGAAGGAGGAGCAGACGGTGGAGGGCTTGCTGAGGTCAGAGAGCAAGTGGCAGGGGCCAGAGGGCGCCCCGTATGTTGTCCACCTGTTTCTCACAGAGGCCCTTGCCCCTCCTGGTCCAGTAAAATAGGGCCCATCAGAAAGCCCATCAGAGGCCACCAGGGGTTTAGCCAAGCCTTCCGGTCCAGCTGTGCCCTCCAGGGGTGGCTGCCCTGAAAGTCCTTTCTCAGGTTTTGCAGAGCACGACACATTTTCCCAAGCTCCTCTTTGGTCTGATTTGCACAAGATTGGTCAGCACTGCAGGTAAGGAGGGATCTGGAAGACTCTCAGCCCCCTGGATGAGGGCGCCGTGGGGCGTGGGGCGTCAGGGCCCTGTCACACGGCAGGGGCAGCCTGCAGGTCTGCCGATGACGGAGGAAGAGACCTAGTGTGTGCGCCCTCTTCTGGATGGCACTCCCGCCCGCCGCAGGGGAGGGTGGGAAACACACCTGAGTGCTTGGCCCCCAGGCCTGAGCCCTGGGGAGGGGGAGGCGGTCTGCCGGTGCTGAGCTAAGGGGCACTTGAGGCGACCAGCCTGTGCCGTGTGACGGCTGTGCCGCCTCCGACGGGTGTAAGGCCTGCATCTGTGACTGTCCAGGCACGTCAAACCAGCTGACACACACCCACGGAATGAGGGCCCAAGTCTGAGGGGAATGAAAGGGACCTTCTCCCGGTCCATCAAGCCTGCGTCCAGACTCCAGTATTACCCACTGCTACCAGGAAAGAATGCGTGGGACAGCCACTTCCTGGAACACACCACTGAACTTTCCTTTGACTAAAGGCAAGGCCATCCTCAGGACCTCTAACAGGGTCTAACAGTGGGGTCTCTGACAGGCCCCATTTCGTTGGACAAACTGGCACTGCACCAGGAGGGGCCAGGGCCCCTGCTTCCCGGGCAGTAGGGTCAACTAGTTGGTGTGGGACATCACTGGCTGGAGTCCCTCAGGTCCGACCTGCTCCTCTGAACAGAATAAGATCTAATGTCTTCCTTGTGGCTGCAGACCCAGCCTGCATTCTGACGTCCCAGCTCCCACCTCGGGCATCTAGGCCTGAGCACCCGGTTTTCTCTGCACAGGCTTCGTGCCACTTGTTCTTCTTGATCCATAGTGGCATTCAAAGGGACAGTGTGACAGTGCAGGCAGGTGCCCACCCCTGTAAGAAAACTGAGAGTTTGGGAAACAGCCTGGCCACCAAGGCCCCCAGTGTTGGCACAAGAATAACCACAGCCGATGGGAAAAGCACAGGATGCAGGGACAGGCCACTTGGGCTGCTCTGCTCCAGGTGCCGGGGGCCGAGCTGTGAGGCGTTAACGGCACGGGAGGACGATCCCAGCCATCCAGCACCCCTCTGCGCCTGTTTGCTCGGCCGAGCCTCACCTGGGCCCCACCAGCCACCCCTCCCAATCCCGTCCCTTCGCCACTTTGAGTTCTGCACACAGTATGTCAGCAGAAACCCCACACGGGGGTTGTACACACCCTGGCTGACCATTATGGAGCTGTCCTGGGGGGCTCTTTCGGCCACCCCTTCTCTAATACCACTTGACGTTCATGAGGACAGGGCTCACCTACGAGTTTCTGCAGGCACCACCGCTTGTCTCAGCAGTGCTGAGAGTGGGGCAAATGCTCCACAGATATGTATCTGCTTTGACCCTGTACCTCCAGAGGAAGTCAGTGGGAGGTGAGTCACATCTGCAGATTTCACAATTATTCCAATCAGGACTTCCTTTTAAAACATTTTCTGTTCAAGTTCTCCTCTGAAGGCCATTTCATCATTTGAGCAATGCTAGTCCTGCAGCCGGACACCTGGTACTTGACATAGCCTGGTTTGTAACAGGTGCAGTTCTCCCCAAAACCCAGAGGCTTCGGAGCAAACTAAACACTCGCCCCACTGCTCCCGCTCAGGCCTCCTCGGCCTTCCCCTTGGAAGTGCTGTTACGGGCTTTCCGAGAAGGGACGGGAGCAACCGCTACATGTCGCTTGGTGACTCCCTGCTGCGCTTAGGTGAAATCCCAGATGCTCCCCAGGGCTCTGCCTGCTTCTCCGACCTCATTCCCCCTTCTCCCCTTCCCCTCAGCACTCCTGCCGTAGCACTGATCATACATGGCCTCCTGAACACGGAAACCTCTTTCTGCCCCAGTGTCTCAAGGCAAACTGTCTCCCCTGCCCTAGATTTTTCCAGGACTGACTCCGTGACCCGCGGGTCCTGCTTTAAATATGACCTCCTTCCTGGATCATGAAAATGCTGAAGAGCTTTCTCTTGCAATCAGAAGACTGTAGAAACATCTAGGGATAGAGATAAGCCCATTTGGCGGGCGCAGTGGCCGGGGAGTTAATGGCAGGAAGAAAAATGAACAGAATGCAGGTTGGGAGTGGTGGACAGAGAGCTCAGCTCCTGGGGCAGAAATACAACCTCACAATGAGAGAAACTACCCATTTTCCAGCTGCCCATAGCTTACTAGGTGACCACGAGTGACCCCTGTCAAAGGTAGGTCACATGTCACTGAGAGGAAAGACCGCCTCCTTCCCTACTCAGAATTCTCTGTAGGTGGGCTGGCGGGGGTCCCCCACCAAGTCATTCTCTACTACCAGCGGGGGTCCCAGCAGTAACTCAATTCTGATGCCATCTGCCTAGGGGCAGCACCGGATCCCACGGGTTAAGGGCTATGCAACCACTTCCAATGCCGGTCTCAAGTCCTAGGTTGTCACCTGTGTCTGACAGACCAGCTAAAACCGGAGGTTCCCAGGAGCCCCCGACCCCACAGCCGCAGGTTCAGTAATTTGCTAGAATGCCAGCAGAACTCAGGACAGCTGTTGAGTGTTACAGACTCACTACAAAGGACACCAACAGCGAGCTGCCCAGAGAGACACCGAGGGGGAAGTCCACCAGGTCCCTACGGGTGCTTCTGTCCCCGTGGAGTCAGGGCCGGGCCACCCTCCTGGCCCCTGGACACCCGCTGCATCCTGTCCAGAGGGGTCCTGTGGAGGCTCTGTGACTCAGGCTTGACCAACTCCCGCGCGGGGCACTGGTGCTGGCGCCGGTCTCCGGCCCCGTCCTCCCTGCGGAGGTCCCGGGGCTACGACTTCCAAGCCACCAGTCGCAAGGCTGCCTCTCCTGGCCACAAGCTCCCATGGTGCACACTAGGGCCTTCCCAGAATGCACCTCGCTGACCGGCCCAGGTGTCATGAAAGGATCTTACGTGAGTAACAGATTCTCTCTTCACTTGCGCCACTCTTACCGTTTTGTAAATGATAAGACTGGATTTTCAATGGTTTGGGGAGTTCTGTGCCAGGAAAGGGGATGAAGACCAAATATATATTTCTTACTATAAATCATAATAATGCAGCCACCCCCAGGTGAGACTGCTGGTGGGTTATGCTGTTTTTCAAAGACGACCTAGGATCTGCCTTGCAGAAGGGATGAAGAGGGTCAAGTCTCTGCAGAGCAGGACCTGCCCTCTCCTCACTCTCAGGTCACCTGCAGGTCCCTGGGAGGCTGAGCCCGGAAGCCAAGCAGCCCCTGTCACTCATGGGCCCCTGTCCCGGCCGTGACTAGATCACAAAAGCAGGGAGATTTGCCCCCAGTTCACCTGTAATTCTCCATAGGATTCGAACTGCCGGTGTCCCAGAACCGAAAGTCCTCAGCAAACCTCAGCTCAGGGCCAGTGGGCGGCAGAAAGCAGCTGCTCGGACTGGGCTCTCACCCCGTGTTCCGCTCCCGGTGGCGTCAGGCGACACCCCCGGGGCCCCATGCCCCCAGCAGCCCACGGGGACTGCACAGGCGACCTCATCTGCCCGCTGGCCCACAGGGGACCAGCAATCCGTTTATTACCGTATCTCCTCTGCCTGAAGATCCCTGCTCTCCCTATCTGGGTCTATCACAGGCAGGATTGAGAAAGCGTCGGATTCTTCCTGAATCTCTCACCCTGTCACACGAGCTCTGGGATCTTGGGAAACAGGCTCCGGATGCCTCGCCTCCCCATCTGTAAAATGAGGATAATATTAGTATCTCCATCACAGAGCCAAATTCACTAATAAGTGAGCACATCGAAGTGTTCAATGGTGATCGGTGCTCAGAAGATGTTGGGCCATGTGACTGACATCACTGTATTACTTTTTCACACTTAGCTCCTAGAAGAGAGGGATCACACTCAGTCCTGTGTCCCGGGGGACTGATTCAGTGCCTGACACGCTGAGCAGAACCTGCGTGGAATGAACGGCACCCCCAGCGCGTATTCCCAGCACCGCTCACCGGCTGTGCCCCGTGGCGCTCTGATGCCCAGCGTGCAGATCATGTGGCCCCAGCCGAGCTGCGGTCTCCTGGAAGCACAGGGCACGCGCTGACCTTGGTGTGCCCCGCGACTCGGGCTCACAGCAGGGGCTCGACGCCACTTCGCAGGCCCGAACCGCTGCATTTCTTCCTCCTGATAACAAGAGCATCATATGGGGTCAGGGTGAGAGCCGCTGCCATGCCTGCATTTACACCCCAGGGATACCACGGTTTTGGAGTGGGAGCTCTTCAGACCGTCAGAGACCGGCTGACAGGCAAGCTGAGGCTGGGGGTGGCTACCTGCAGACTGGACGTGCAGAAAGGTGTCAGCCACGAGTTCTGCCTCCGGAGGATGGGAGAGAAATCTCTGCCTGCTGCCTGTTGAATGCGTCCTCCTTTTGAAACGACTCACCCTGAGGAACAGTCTCCCACCAGAACCAGCCCTGTGAGCAGCATCAGGAGAGAAGCTTCCTGGGAAGCCGGGCCAGCGCAACAGCCAGTCAGACGCGGCTCCTTTCTCATCACACGTGGGAGGGGAAGGAGCTTATTGCCTTGACTTCCCCAGCCAACACCAACTTCCCCTTTCCCAACAAAAGCCGAGTGAGGTGCTCGGAACAGCAAAGGACAGCACCCGACTACACGTGGCTTATCAATAAGGACATTTATTACTTTGTGTCACGTGAAGTCTGGAGGTGGGACAGCTCGACATGGGTCACTGCTTTGGCAGAAACATCATGGCCCTACTTCAGCTATGGTGCAGCTCCCTGCACAGCCCCAAGATCAGCCATAGGTTGGCCTCCCAGGCCATCAGTGATCCTCAGAGACGAGGAAGGGGGTGCCCCCATCTGTGCCTCCATCAGGCCCCCCAACCCCGTGTCTCAGCGGCTGGAGCCACGCCTTCTGTCCACACCCGGATGATCACCAGCAAGGCGAAGCCACCGTGACTGGCTAGACCAACCCGGGGTGCCCCTCTGGAGGTGGGTGAGCTTCCTGAAGGGACCCGGCCCCTCAGAGGAGTGCAGCCAAGTCAGGGTCTGACAGCAGGGCCGGCAGAGGGGAGGGGATCCGGGCAGTCAGCAGGGAGGGTCTGCAGCGGAGAAGGCGGCCTCTCCACCTCTCCAGGAAGGGAACGAGTAAAATTATCCCGAATTCATGCCTGAGGAAGTCAAGCTATCATAAGACAGGGAGCCTGCTTACTCTGGGTGAGGAGATGAAGCCCTCCCAAATGTGGCACCTGGTCACCGCCACTATCCATGGGGGCTGCAAGGGCAGTAGGGCCCCACGGGCACCTCCCTTGTGCAGAAGATTGAGGTCGGCTCACCAACAAAAATAAAACCGTCTTGTAGCACCAAGCCATGAGGTTTAATGGCGCACACAGCCCGATTCCAGACCAAGGCCAGGACTGAAATGGTGATGTTTGGCTTCAGTTTCCGTCCCTGCTGCAGACTGACAGATTCCTCCCTCTGGAGAATACAGTCCTTTTTTGCATGGACCAGAAATATAATTTACAACTTTACAGGAGTCTCTGCTGGGGTTCTGTAAAGGTTCTTTCGGAAAGGCTTGAAATCATCTAGTCTTTGTGGGAAAAATAGTAGTACTTTACGCAAAGAAGTAGGTCAAGAAACTGTTTGATCCTGAAGACGTAACTGTAAGTTCTCCACACGAGGCTTTTTATTAAGCAGGACCTCTGACGGTCAAGCTGCCGTCTCGCTCATCACTCATCATCCACGTCGCGGCCTCAGGCTGGCCCAGCTCCTGTGCACGCCTCTGGGAGCTGCCTGGACCGTGTGCGCGAAGCTCAGGGCTCCTCTTGGTGTTCAGGGAAGGGCCAGGAGGGAGCAAAGGGTGTGACCTCAGGAGCCTCTGCCAGCAGCCGCCCCGCAAGTCCTCCCCGAGTCCTTCCTCTCCCCAGCAGCCCCCTGGCTGCTGAGCCCTCTGCCCACGATGAAGGGGTGCCGACACTCAGATTCCTCAGCAGTAAACACCCAGCACCACTCCTGCCATGCAATCTCATCCCTGACTCGGGCCAGGGTGCATGACTCTGCCCCCCTCCAGGGGGGGCCAGGGTGCGTGACTCTGCCCCTCTCCAGGGGGGGCCAGGGTGCATGACTCTGCCCCCCTCCAGGGGGGGGCCAGGGTGCGTGACTCTGCCCCTCTCCAGGGGGGGCCAGGGTTCTGACTCTGCTTCCCAGAGAGGCCGCGGTGTGTTCGGGGTTTGGGCCACAGAAGCTGTTTCCTCGGAAGAGCCTGGCAAAGAAGTGAATGACGGGGCAGTAGAGTTAGGTCAGCCCGAAAACCCGAGGAAAGAGCCAGGCCTTTGCGGCATGTGGTCGTCTGAGCTGGGCCTCGTCCCAGAGCACGAGGCCCCCACCTGTCGGGAAGGCTTGGCAGGAAGTGGGCAGATGAGGTAAGCTCCCGGGAGGACTGAGCTTCAGGTGTTCCTGTCCGACAGGATCGTGTGTCCTCAACAGGTGTCCTTGCCTGTGGCCCACTGCTGCGCGTGGCCCTCCTCCAGGGAGGAGGGTGGGGGTGCTGGTCCTCAGTCAGGACCTGGGGACTAGGGTGAAGAAGAGGGGAGCACCGCACAGGCGCTTAAAAATTAACCAGACGACCAGGTTAAAATTCCTGATCCCTACTTACTAACGACATGGCCACCAGCCACTTGGCCCTCAAGTGGGAACACTGGCAGCTGGCTCGCCATGCTGCTACGTGGAATTAAAGGAGGTGGACAGCTCGCCGCGTGTCAGGCAGGTGAGGACATGGCAGTGGTGGCCCTAGGCGGGAGCTGGTACCAAACGGAGGCCCGGCGGAGGAGTGGGCGCAGGGACCTCGGCCCGGCTTAGAGGAGGAAGGAGGGCCTCGAGAGGAAGCACCAGGACCCAGGGGGCCTGCGGAAGGAAGCCTGGGCTGGAGCTGCGGCTGGGAGCCCCCCTCCCGGCTCAGCCGAGCGGGGCACCAGGAACAGGGGGGCGAGAGCTTCTCTGCTAGGAGCGGGTGGGCCGCTGCATCCCAGAGGCAGTCTCCCCGCATGCAGCACTTGGAGTCCCAGCAAAGCCACCCTAGTCGCGCCCCAGGAGCCAGGACTGAAAAGCCTCTCGGAACCAGGAGCCCCTCCAGCCGGGAGAGACCCTCCAGGGACCTGTTGGCCGGCCCAGCATCACCCACGTGACTGGTGGCTGCAGACCAAAAAGCCCGACTTGACCAGGAGCCCCAAACCTCCCTCGGGGAAGGCACTAGAGAAGCCAGGACAAGGGTGAAGGGAAGTTTCCTCCCGACTGACAGAATACTCAGGCAGGCCACGCTCGTGACTGTAGAAGTCGGCCAGCAGCAAAGGTCATCATGAAATCATTTATGAGGGAGGCATTCGAATTTGGGCCTCCCTGTAAATCTGCACAAGTACATTTTCTAGATGCGTTAGGATTTATGTTTATAAAAGGAAAGAACAAGAAGAACCAGCAGCTAGAAGAACACGTACGGGAACATTGAACTTGCCCCGGGGAAGCGTGGCGGTTCAGAGCGTGGCCCCACATTCTGCGACGTGTCTCCCACGAAGCAGGCTTCAGTCGGGCAGCTTGGGGCCGCTCTGACTGATGGAGCCGTTGGCGCTCACGGCCAGGGCATGAGGGCTTCAGCCTCTGCTGTGTTGGCTGGACACTCACTTGGGGTCCCTGAGCTGCCATGTAGGAATTCCAGCTGCCCCGAGGCTGCCGTGCGGGATGGACCACATGGAAGCAGCAGAGGACAGTCCCTGCTCAGCCCGGCCCCCCAGCCGTGCCACAAGGCTCCACACAGGTGGGTGATGCCATCTTGGGCTCTCCTAACCCGGCCAGCGGTTGAGCACTGAATGACCTCTGTCGGCATCAGCTGGGACAGAAAACTCCCCCGCTGACCTGCCCAGATCCCTGGCTTAAAACACTGTGGAAGAAGATGGTTGTGGTTTAAGCCATGAACTTTTGGGGGCATTTGTTATGCAGCAGCAGATAAATGCAACCTGTGGAGAAAGACCTTGTGGGCACAAAAGCTTGGAAGGAATCAAAATAAAAAAAATAGCAGATTTGAAACTGTCAACCGCTCTGTCATTATCATAACAACATGACAAAGCAATAAAACTAGAAAAATAGCCCATGACACACCTGAAAGACAAACCATTAAGAAGAAGATCACAACAGAAAAAGAACTTGGCAAATAACAAAGCAGCTGTCAGGAAAAATGTTACAGACAAAAAAAGAGATGTTTAACACTATTGGTAATAAGTGTAAATTCAATGACAAGAGACCTTTTTGCCTTCAAATTGCAATGATTTTTAAAACAACATCCAATGCCTGCAAGACTGTAGTGAAGCAAGAATTTCCCTGGAGGTGGGAATGTAAATTGGTAGCCTTTCTGGAGAACAAGTTGATGATATAAATCAGGCCTTCAATACCCTTTGCCCAAGTGTTTCTACTTTTAGGAATTAAGAAGATGTGTGGTGAAACATTGTCATCACAGCGCTATTTTTAATAGCAAGAAGTTTTAAACAATGAAACGTTCAACAGAAGGGGAACTGTTGCTAAGTTTCAAATAATTGAACACGACAGAGTTATCAAAGATTGTGGTGCCCACATTATTCAGTGGCAAGTGGGGAGAGTAGCTAAAAGCATTTGAAAGGAAGAACCACAGTTCTGTTTATATAGATGGATGGACAGAAAAAAGACTGGATGGAAACACACCAACGTATTAACAGTGGTCTCTGGGTAAATGATTTAGAGGGTTATTATTTCCTTCTTTCTCCTTGTCTGAGTTTTCCTAATTTTCCAACATGAAATGGCATTGATTTTATAATCAGAAAAACATTCTTCTTTTAAGTAGCAACTAAAGAAAAAAAAACCCAGAGCAGTACCTTTAGCAAACCTCAGTGCAAGGACCTGCAGATACTGAGAGGCGATCTCAGAAGCCAGGGCCTCTCTCCAGGGACCCGCTGTGGTCTGGGTTTCATGGCCTCGTGGGTCCCCAAGCTCCAAAGCTGTGTGTCTAGCATCCCCCCTCTTCTCCTGCCTCACCTTACTGTCACAGGCACCCCCACACACAGAGGAGAATCCTTCTAGTCCTCTAGTTCCTTTCTGTTCGCACAGAAATCACACACTGACAGCCCTGGGCCAAACCAGGTCTGTGGATCGCTTCTCTGGGACACCCTTTCCCAAAATATGTTGATTTTATTTTGAACTAGTTACCAATGTTAAACAATGAAGAGAGATTTTCACCTCCAGAAAGACGGAGTAAATTTTTTCTCTATTCCTCCCACTAAGTACAACTAGCAACCCTGGCATTATACACCAAACAGACAGAAGGCAGAAGGTGAGGAGGAGACGGCAGATGGGAGGGGGACCCAGGACCTGCAGGGCCGCACAGCGGTGAATCCCATGGGTGTCATTTTCTACTCACATATCCCAGACTTGAAACTAAAGAAGCCTTCGACCCAGAAATGCCAGCAAATGCAGACAGGAAAACCCCAAGAAAACTCCACTCTCTGTACCAAAGGGCAAAAAAAAAGGCGGCCTAGCAGGACAGGAGCCAACAGGACTGTGGTCGCTCTACTCTGGCCGAACGTCCCGAGCAGGCCCTGTGGTCCCACTCTCACCCAGAGAGCGCAGCCGAGTGGGGGACCTCAGCGCCCACCACTGTGAAGCTCTAACAAGGGGCGCTAACCCACACCAGGTGGGGTCAGAGACGGCCTAGCAGAGAGCCAGGACTTCTGTCCACTGTGACCAGCTGGCAACCTCACCTCCCCCAACACGGGCGGCTATCGGGCAGCAGCGAGGTGCGCCCGCCGCTCCCACCAGGGAGCTTCCCACCCTCGGCACCCGAGCGGCATCCCCACGAGGACTGACGAGCTGCTTCCTTGACACTTGAGGGTCAGTGGAGGCCATGGGGTGAACGTGGCCTTCAACCTCTGCCTGAAAGGGACGAGGTGGCTGCTCCAGCTCCCCTGCCAGACGGTGTCAGGAGAGGCCAGGAAGAACAGCAGGCTTCAGGGGCGTCCGGATCCTCACAACGCCATCCAAAATGCCCAGCTGCCGGTAAAAGGGCACCAATGCCCCGCTCCCGTAAGATCTCACACCGAATATAAAAACACATTCAAGATTTAGTTTACAAAGGTTTTAATGCGGCCCATGATAAAAATGCTTCAACAAGCCATTGTGAACACGCTTGAAACAAATCAAGAAATTGAGAGCTTCAGCAGAGGAATGCAAAGTACCAGCAGGGCAACAGGAGATACGAAGAAGAGCCACGTGGACAAGCCAAAACCCAAGAAAACAGGGATCAAAAGTGAAAGCCCAGGGCGTGGGCTGGTATTAGTTTCCCATGCCACTGAGCCAGCTGGTCATAAGCTTAGAGGCTTGAAACAGTGCAAACTTATGGCCCTACAGTTCTGGAGGTCAGAAGCCCCAGACGGGTCTCGCTGGGCTACGGTGGAAGCGTGTCGAGGCCGTGTTACTTTACGGAGGCCCCGCCGGGGCAGATGTCCTCGCCTTGTCCAGCTCCTCAGGGCTCCCGCCCTCCTCGGCTGGCGGGCCCCTCCCGTCTTCAGAGCCAGCAATGCCCGCGCAAGGTTTCCTCACGTGGAGTCGCCATGACGTTACCCAGCCCCTCTCTTTCACCTACAACGAGCCTTGTGATTACATGGGGTCCCCTGGGAGAATCCAGGATGACGCACCCATCACAAGATCCTTAATCACCTCCGCCACGTCCTTTCTGCATGTGAGGTAATGTATTGACTAGTTCTGGGGACCAGAATGCGGGCATCCTTGAGGGGTCATCCTTCTCCGACCACCGCTTGCCCTCTGGCTCCCAGAGATCCATGCCTGTCCCACTCAAAGGTCATCCACCCAATCTAAAGTCCTCAAAAGCCTCCATCCATCACAAAATCAACTCAAAATCTGAATTCTCATCATGTCAGCCGTTTAAACGGGGGTGGGGAGGACTCTGGTCACCACCCAGCCTGGGGAAACATTCCACTGCATCTGTAAAACAAGGAGAGTTACCTGTTCCTGAAATACAGCGAAAGGGCAGGCATAGGATGGCGATTACAGACACTCCCACCCGAAACGGGAGCTGGAAGTAAGGGAGCAGCCACCACCCCAAGCCATTCTGAGACCCGGCCAGTCAAATCTCGTTAGGTTTCATGGCCTCAGTGGCCCAAGGCTCCTTTCTCTGAGTTTACGGCTCCTGCTTGGAGTTATTTCATGAGCAGTAACACTTGTTCAAAGCTAAAGAGGTTTTTCAACCTGTTTTATACCTGCAAGAATGTTGGGGGTCCAACAGCTCTGTAACCCTTATGTAAATGTAGTCAGTAATTAAAAAAAGAAAGAAATCTCTGAGCTCAAAAGGTATCACTGGAGAACTGTAATGGGGGGGGGGACTTGGTGTAGGGGGAGCCTAGTAAACATAATATTCTTCATGTAGTTGTAAATTAATGATAACAAAAAAAAAGGTATCACTGGAGAATTGTATCAAACATATAAGGGAGAATTAACATCTATTTTACACAATCCCTTCCAGAAAATAGAAAAGGAGGGAACATTTCCTAATTCATTTTATGTTACGTTATGCAGTATCACCCTGACACCAAAACTAGGCAAAAACAGTACAAAAAAGAAAAATGCACATTTCAAATATCCCTCACAAATATAAATGCAAAAATCCTTAATAAAAAGTAAACAA